ATGAGTTACTAAGTCGTTAAAACAAGTTACTTAGTTGTTATAATGAGTTGTTAGCTAAGTCATTATGACGAGTAAGTTAAGCTAAGTCGTTTTAATGAGTTACTTGGTCATTAAAACAAGTTACCAAGTCGTTATAACCAGTTAGATAAGTCGTTATAACGAGTTAGCTTAGTCATTTTAACAAGTTAGGTAAGCTAAGTCATTATAACGACTTAAAAATAAAACTACACCCTGACACTAACTGGCTTCCGTGGAAACGGTATATTCTGAATTGTTCATGTATCACCTTTTTATACGCCAATGTTTAAAGTCTTGCAGTGAACAGCACCGTTTGGAAGTCAAGTGCTACTACAAATAACCCCTGGTTTTTCTGGAAATCTTGCATAAGTATACTATGGAACCCATTAATCCTCAATTTCTAACGCAAAATCATGGACAAGTAAATATTGGCTCAAAATGGTCTATAAATATCTATTTCACCAAAAGTTTCATTTCTGCAAATTTGTTTGTTAGTTTAAGTAAACATGACATCAAAAGCACTATTTTTTGTCAGGGAAGCACTTCTTTAACATATGTTCTAAATTGAAGTGGGTGAATTGGTGGTCTGAGAAAGGAAGATAAATACAAACAATTTTGAATTTTCTATGTCTCATAAGTTGTACGAAAATTTTTCCTTCATTTGGATATCAAAAGCGGGGTTGAATGGCAGAATCTTTCACATACAAAATCCGTAAACCAAAAAATTAAATAAACTGTTATCACAGAGATATGTCTTGCCTTTTATGTAATTTTGATTATGCCAATGTTGAAATTAAAATTGCAATACTTAACAAGTTAGGCTAATATTCAAAGTCAATAAACCATGACTGAGGTACATGACTAAACCATCTCCATGTAAATGAGATGCGCCAATGCTAATACAACTGCATACCAAATATCATTGACTTATTATAAATTGTTCCCTTCAAACAAACCTAAACACAAACATTAACTTGTAAACTATGTAAAAGTTTCAAAGTCAATGAACCATGAAGAGGGGGTGGAGCTATATAATCTCCATGGAAACGATACTTACAAATGCCAATAAATTTGCATACCAAATATCATTGACTTAACATTAGCAGTTCATCTTAAACTGATCTTATCACAAACTAATACATGCAAACTAAGCAAAAGTTTCAAAGTCAATAGGCCATGAATGAGGGGATGGGGCCAAATATTCTCCATTGAAATGAGATGTGCTAATGCTTATACAACTGAATACCAATTAACATTGGCCTACCACTAATGGTTCCCCTTGAACTGTCCTAATCACAAACTAATACATGTTAACTAAGCAAAATTTTCAAAGTCAATAGACCATGACTAAGGGGGCTGAGCCGAATAATCTCCATGAAAATGAGATATGCCAATGCTTATACAACTGCATACCAAATATCATTGACCTACCACTAATGGTTCCCCATAAACTGACCTAATCACAAACTAAAACATGTAAAATAAGCAAAAGTTTCAAAGTCAATAGACCATGACTGAGGGGGCAGGGCCAAATAATCTCCATGGAAAATGAGATGTACCAATGCTAATACAACTGTACACCAAATATGATTGACCTACAACTTGTGGTTCACCACAAACTAGACCTAATCACAAACTAATACATTGTTGACGCTGCCGCCGCCGACGCCGGAAACAGCATACCTATGTCTTGCTTTTTGACTCCGTCAAGCGAGACAAAAACCCTGTCCTAAGATGGTTGATTGACTATAGGACCATACCGAAAGAAAGGCTTAACTGATTGCGGCATGATACTACCACAACAACAGTAGAACACACTAATGTGAAACACTTTACATGGTACATTTGTTCAATATAACAAGAGGCTCCTAAGAGCCTGTTTCAATGCAATTTTTTGTGTAGATCTTGCATCAATGATTATTTTGCTGTTTAATGTATATTAATGCGTGTTTAAACATGCATTTAAAAGATTCTCTCTATCTATCATAGTTTCTGCAAAAAACTTTAAAAAATGGTAAAAATCCTCTTTCAAGGGCAATAATTCCTTTTAAGGAATCAATTGACATTTTAGTCAGGTTGACTAATTTTTGGTCTCACTTTGCTGAACATTTTTACTGCTAAATTTATCTTAATCTATAATAGTTTTCAAGAAAACAACCAAAAACTAAGAAATTTCCTAAAAATTATTACTTCTGGGGCACCTACTCCGAATTGGGTTGTCCGATTTGTCGGAAAATTTCCTCACTTATAAATCTTGACCTGCTGATCATTTTTATCCACCATGTCAGTTTTGCTCTAACTGTTTTAGTTTTTGAGATATAAGCCATAAACTGTATTTTACCCCTATGTTCTATTTTTAGCCATGGTGGCCATGTTTGTTGACTTACAGGAATAAAAAACACAAAAATTATACTAAATATCAAAAGGACCATTCCCACCATGTTTGGTTGAAATTGGTTCAGTAGTTTCAGAGGAGAAGATCTGTGAAAAAGTTTACGACTACGATGACAACGCCGGATGCCAAACGCCAAGTGATGGCAATAGCATACATCGCCCTGTGAGCTAAAATATGGAGATGTGGTATGATTGCAAATAATCAACTATCCACTAGAGTCCTAGTGATGTGGACTATAAAGCATTGTTTTAAGTTTTCAAATTCCATATTTGATGGCAACATTTGATCATAAGTAGAAGTATGTTTCAAAGGCACCCGTTGTTTGAGTTTTCCTCACATCAAATTTATTGTATTCCATGCCTTTCTTCAATCCTATTCAGTGGCGGATCCAGAAATTTTCATAAGGGGTGGGGGGGGGGGGGGGGGGGGGGGGGGGGGTGGGCACTGACTGCCTAAGAGGGGGCCCGCTCCAGTCATGCTTTAGTGATTCCCTAAATAATCAACCAAATTTTTCCTACAAAAGGGGGGGGGGAACCCTCTAAATCCGCCTCAGCTATTGTGGTCTTTTTTTATCTTATAAGTTCTGATTCATAAAGGTTTTTGAGTTTTTTTTTTATCACTTTTCATAAATTCTCTGTAAATAAAGGTAACAGTAGTATACCGCTGTTCAATAGTCATAATTCGATTTAGCAAAAACAAATCTGGGTAACAAACTAAACCCCAGAGGGAAACACATCAACTATAAGAGGAAAACATATGTTTATAAAAATAAATAAATAGGGAATGTATCCATGGGACACAGATGATACCACTGCTTGCATATAATGTTATAAAGGGACAAAACACAAGAAATGTAAAAGTGACGCTACCCAAAGGAAAAGGTACGATAAGGCCCGTTTTTGGCCCCCCTATTTTCTCATTTTTCAAATTCTGTTTTGGAAAGCTACTTATCACGTTAAAATATTCCCTTAGGTTTGAAGTTTGTTTGGATGAACTTCAAAACCATTTATTTCAGAAAATAGGTTAGTATAGGGGGGTCAAAGGGCATCAAAAACGCCAAAAGAAGGAAAAATTACGATTTTTGGTCATTGTTTCCTAAAATTGAATAGGGTGCGCCTACGTGACCCGGAGAACATTACGGCGATTTAGACAGCAAAAACAGTGCTTATGACATTGGAATAAAAAAATTCCTGGGTCACGTTGGCGCAGGCACTTAAAAACTAAAAATTCGTCGTACGGAACACCTGCAAAGTGAATAATATTGACAATATTTGAATAATAACAGAAAGTTTACCCCCCTCACCTCACCCAGTTGCTAAAATAAGTGGTTTTGAAGTTCATCCAAACAAACTTCAAGCATCTGGGAATATTTCAAAATAATAAATAGGTCTCCAAAACAGAATTTGAAAAATGAGTAAATAGGGGGGGCCAAAAACAGGCCTTATCGTACCTTGTCCTTTGTACTTGATCTTAGTTTTGTGGTAATAAGTATTGCGTATACGTTTCATAACATTTATTTGAGGAAAACTTAAGTTAAAGAACGGAAACAAAAAACCCAGCAAATTATACCTTTGTAAAGGGGCATAACTCTAGAACAGTAAAAGTGACGCCACCAAAATTCAAACTTGATCTGTGTTTTGTGGTACTTTGCATTGTGCATAAGTTTCATAACATTTGGTTAAGGCAAACTAAAGTGAGAGAACAGAAAGGAAAAAATCAGCAATTTTTCCATTTGTAGAGGGGCATAACTCTAGAACAGTAAAAGTGACGCCACCAAAATTCAAACTTGGGATGTGTTCTAAGGTAATAAGCATTGTGTATAAGTTTCATAACATTTGGTAAAGGCAAACTAAAGTTTGAGAACCGAAACGAATAATTTAGCAATTTTTCCATTTGTAAAGAGGCATAAATCTAGAAAGGTAAAAGTGACGCCACTAAAATTCAAACTTGATCTGTGTTTATTGGTAATAAGCATTGTGTATAAGTTTCATAACATTTGGTTGAGGCAAACTAAAGTAAGAGAACGGAAACCAATTTTGGGACGTACGGACAGACGGATGGACGTACAGACGGACAAGGGTAAAACTTAATGCCCCCTCCGCTACGGCAGGGGGCATAAAAAAATCATTATTTTACATTGGGAGGATCAAAGATGTATCAATCCATACATTTATGGATATGAATTTAATTAATTGCTGCGCCGAGCGCAGCTGGATACGACCGCAGAGGTCCAACCCTGAACAGTTGGGGGCAAAAATGGACACAATATTCGCGCTTGATACAGGTCTGAATTTGGATTGTAATTTAATATTTTACACATAGGTTTCTGACACAGATTAACTGTAGTCAAAGAACTCAGAATTGGTTATATGATTTGAATTTATATTAAATTTTTTGCTTTTGTGCAATACACTATGCTGTTTGGAATTGACCTTCCCCGTCCTTTTTTTTGGAAAAAAAAAAAATATTTGAAGAAATTTTCTTTTTAATTTCTGAAATCTGAAATGAGAAAAAATTGTCCCCCCCCTCACATTTTACCCCCCCCCCCCCCCCCCTCCCGAATTTTTTTTCACCTCCCCTTTCTAAAAAAAAAAAAATTCTTTCCCTCAAGATATGGTCATAATCTCAATTCAAATTTCCAATGGAGTTTGCAACCATAATTACTCATTTAAATACATCATAAAAGTCTTAAAATAGAAAATGACATACATAATCATGTCTAAAATTAATATTCCTTAATCAGCATTTTTAAATAGTAACTTCTATTGATAAATTGACAGCTAATCATCTCAAGACAATACAACATTTCGTTATACATAATTTAAAAGCAGTGTAAGGGAGGTAATCCATACACAACATTGTACTTTTTTTTAATTGTCCATTTACCAGGAAACCCTTGTTTTCCCCCTTTTTTGCCCCTAATTCCTAAACCGTTTGAGCCATAACCCCCCAAAGCCAATCCTAACCATCCCTTTGTGATACGGAAACTTGTGGTATAATTTCAGAGAGATCCATACACCATTCCACAAGTTGTTGTCTGGAAACTAGAAAAATGCCAATTTGGGCCCCTTTTTGGCCCCTTATTCCTAAACTGTTAGGACTATAACCCCCAAAATCAATCCCAACCTTCCTTTTGAGGTTATAAACCTTGTGTTTAAATTTCATAGATTTCTATTTACATTTACTAAAGTTATTGTCTGGTAACAAATTTTTTTTCGGACGACGACGACGTGATACCAATATACGACCGCAAAATTTTTTGCGGTCGTAAAAAAACAGATCAAAACACAATAAAATGCTCCGCAGGGCGCAGCTTGATACGACCGCAGAGGTCGAACCCTGAACAGTTGGGGCAAGTATGGACACAACATTCAAGCTTGATACAGCTTTGCATTTGGATTGTGATTAAATATTTGACACAGCATAGGTTTCTGACACAGAATGAAAGTGGTCTAAGAACTTAAAAAATTTTAAGTTACCTATTCAAACCATATCATTATTATTTGCTTTTATATATAAATCAGAAATAACCAATTTAAAATGGAAAATTCTAAAGAAAAAAAAAATCCCCCCCAAATTTTTTGAACCCCCTTATGATTCATCACCCCCAAACTCAATCCCAGCCTTCCATTTGTGGAAATTTGCATTACAATTTCAGAGAGATCCATACACTTGAACACAAGTTATTGTCTGGAAACTAGAAAAAATGCTTGTTTTTTGGCCCCTTTTTGGCCCCAAATTCCTAAACGTTTAGGTCAATTACCCCCAAACTCAAACCCAGCTTTCCCTTTGTGATATGGAACCATGCAGTACAATTTCATAAAGATCCATACACTAACACATAAGTTATTGTCCTGAAACTAGAAAAATGCTTGTCTTTTTGCCCTTTTATGGCCCCTAATTCCTAAAATTTTGAGGGAATTACCCCCAAAATAAATCCCAGTCTTCCCTTTGTGGTATGGTACCTTGCAGTACAATTTCAGAGAGATTCATACACCTGAACACAAGTTATTGTCTGGAAACTAGAAAAATGCTTGTTTTTTGCCCCTTTTTGGCCCCTTATTCCTAAACATTTTGGGCAATTACCCCCAAACTCAATTCCAGCTTTCCCTTTGTGATATGGAACCTTGTAGTACAATTTCATAAAGATCCATACACTTACACACAAGTTATTGTCATGAAACTAGAAAAATGCTTGTTTTTTGCCCCTTTTTGGCCCCTAATTCCTAAAATTTGGAGGCAATTACCCCCTAAATCAATCCCAGCATTCCCTTTGTGATATGGAACCTTGTGATACAATGTCAGAGAGATCCATACACTTACACACAAGTTATTGTCATGAAACTAGAAAAATGCTTGTTTTTTGCCCCTTTTTGGCCTATAATTCCTAAAATTTGGAGGCAATTACCCCCAAAATCAATCCCAGCATTCCCTTTGTGATATGGAACCTTGTGGTACAATGTCAGAGAGATCCATACACTTACACACAAGTTATGTCTGGAAGTTACAAAAATGCTTATTTTTGGCCCCTTTTTGGCCCCTAATTCCTAAACTGTTGGTACCATAACCCCCAAAATCAATCCCCACCTTCATTTTGTGGTATTGAACCTTATGGTAAAATTTCATTAAAATCCATTCACTTAAACTAAAGTTAGAGTGCGAAAACTAATGTGTCTTCGGACGACGACGAGGCCAACGTCATACCAATATACGACCACAAAAAATTGTTTGCGGTCGTATAAAAAACTGCAAAATTTTGTTAAAACTACCAATTCCGTGGGTTGTTCGATTCGTCTGATAATTTCAAGGCCGATAGATCTTGACCAATTAAACAATTTTACCCCATGTCACATTTGCTCTAAAAGATTTAGTTTTTGAGATATAAGCCAAAAACTGCATTTGACCCTTATGTTCTATTTTAGCCATGGCGGCCATGTTTGTCGATGGATACAAATTTCGGATACAATTTATAAACAAGATACCCTAAGGAACATTTAGTTAAAGTTTGAAGGTAATTGGCACAGTAGTTTCAGAGGAGAAGATTTTTAAATGTTAGCAAACTTGATGAACAAATTGTGTAAAATTGTCTTTAAAGCGCAATAACTCCTTAAGGGGTCAATTGACAATTATGGTCGTATTAACTTTTTTGTAGATCTTACTTTGCTGAACATTATTGCTGCTTACAGTTTATATATATCTATAATAATATTCAAAATAATAACAAATAAAAAGCTCTGCAGGGCGCAGCTTGATACGACCGCAGAGGTCGAACCCTGAACAGTTGGGGCAAGTATGGACACAACATTCAAGCTTGATACAGCTCTGAATTTGGATTGAGATTAAATATTTGACACAGAATAGGTTTCTGACACAGAATGAATGTGGTCTAAGAACTTAAAAATTTTAAATAGGACATTCACCTTATGGTCCAATATCCAAAATCTAAATACATGGTTAGATTCAGCATATCAAAGAACCCCAAGAATTCAATTTTTGATGAAATCAAACAAAGTTTAATTTTGGACCCTTTCGACCTCAATGTGGACAAAGTTGATAATGGGGCCCAAAATTCAAAAATCTAAATACATGGTTAGATTCAGCATATCAAAGAACCCCATATATTCAATTTTTGTTGAAATCAAACAAAGTTTAATTTTGGACCCCGATTTGGACCAACTTGAAAACTGGGCCCATAATCAAAAATCTAAATACATCTTTATATTCAGCATCTCAAAGAATCCTAAGAATTCAATTTTTGTTAAAATCAAACTAAGTTTAATTTTGGACCCTTTGGACCTTAATGTAGAGCAATTTGAAAACGGAACCAAAAATTAAGAATCTAAATACACAGTTAGATTCGGCATATCAAAGAACCCCAACAATTCAATTTTTGATGAAATCAAACAAAGTTTAATTTTGGACCCTTTGGACCTCAATGTGGACCAATTTAAAAACTTGGCCCAAAATCCAAAAACTTAATACACGGTTAGAATCAGCATATTAAAGAACCCCAAGAATTCAAGAATAAAACCCCATTGAAATTGGTCAAGAAATAAGCAATTTATACGAAGTATCTTCTTTTGCACAATACTGTGCAATTGAATATTTCTTGCAATTGCGCAATACTGTACAATTGACAATTTCTTGCTATTGCGCAATATTGTGCTATTGGATATTTCTTGCTATTGCACAATACTGTGCAATTGAAGATTTCTTGCTATTGCGCAATACTGTGCAATTGAAGATTTCTTGCTATTGTGCAATACTGTGCAATTGAAAATTTCTTGCTATTGCACTATACTTATTATATAATAATTTACACATCCTGTTTGGTGTGTATCTCTTACCATATCATTATTATTTGCTTTTAAATATAAATCAGAAATAACCAACTTAAAATGGAAAATTTTAAAAGAAGAAAAAAGGAAAAAAAGAAAAAAAAGGAAAAAAAAAAAAAATCCCCCCCAAATTTTTTGAACCCCCTTATGATTCATCACCCCCAAACTCAATCCCAGTCTTCCCTTTGTGGTATGGTACCTTGCAGTACAATTTCAGAGATATCCATACACTTGAACACAAGTTATTGTCTGGAAACTAGAAAAATGCTTATTTTTGGCCCCTTTTTGGCCCCCTATTCCTAAAAGTTTTGGGCAATTACCCCCAAACTCAATTCCAGCTTTTCCTTTGTGATATGGAACCTTGTAGTACAATTTCAGAAAGATCCATACACTTACACACAAGTTATTGTCATGAAACTAGAAAAATGCTTGTTTTTTGCCCCTTTTTTGGCCCCTAATTCCTAATATTTTGAGGCAATTACCCCCAAAATCAATCCCAGCATTCCCTGTGTGATATGGAACCTTGTGGTACAATGTCAGAGAGATCCATACACTAACACACAAGTTATGTCTGGAAGTTACAAAAATGCTTATTTTTGGCCCCTTTTTGGCCCCTAATTCCTTTACTGTTGGTACCATAACCCCCAAAATCAATCCCAACCTTCCTTTTGTGGTATTGAACCTTATGGTAAAATTTCATAGAGATCCATTCACTTAAACTAAAGTTAAGAGTTCGAAAACCAATGTGTCTTCGGACGACGCAGGACGAAGCCAGACGACGACGACAACGACGACGCCTTCATACCAATATACGACCGCAAACATTTTTTGCGGTCGTATAAAAACTGCAAAATTTTGTTAAAACTACCAATTCGGTGGCAGCAACCCAACAATGGGTTGTTCGATTCGTCTGAAAATTTCAGAGCTGATAGATCTTGACCAATTGACCAATTTTACCCCATGTCAGATTTGCTCTAAAAGCTTTAGTTTTTGAGATATAAGCCAAAAACTGCATTTGACCCCTATGTTCTATTTTTAGCCATGGCGGCCATGTTTGTCAATGGATCAAAACTTCAGATACAATTTATAAACTAGATACCCTAAGGAACATTTAGTTAAAGTTTGAAGGTATTTGGCCCAGTAGTTTCAGAGGAGAAGATTTTTGAAATAGTTTACGACGACAAACGACGAGAGACAACAACAGACGACGACAACAGACGACGACGATGGACGCCAAGTGATGGCAAAAGCTCACATGGGGCCCTTCGGGCCCAGGTGAGCTAAAAATCAGCAATTTTTCCATTTGTAAAGGGACATAACTCTCGAACGGTAAAAGTGATGCCACCAAAATTCAAACTCGATCTGTGTTTTGTGGTAATTAGCATTGTGGATAAGTTTCATAACATTTGGTTGAGGCAAACTAAAGTTAGAGAACGGAAACCAAGTGTGGGACGTACGGACGTACAGACGGACAAGGGTAAAACTTAATGCCCCCTCAACTACGGTGGTGGCATAAAAAATATTTATTTACAGAAATGTATGTTAAGGGGGTACCTAACACTTTGACTTAGATTTGGCTCGTTTAATTCTAATAAAATTTTGACAAAATAATTTCTTTGACCTGTTGACAAAAATATGAAAATTTAAAAATTTAAAAAAAATATGAACCACACAATTTAAAGGAATAATTTCATTGGATATATAAATAGCAGTTCAACAAACACTAGTTTTGATCATTGAGAAGTTTTTTTAAGTTCTGTACCAAATTTCAATTCTGTTTTTGTTTTCAATAGTTCATCCTTAAAAGATCTAAATCTTTGCAATATAGTGCGATTTTGAAAATTGTAAATGAATCCGGAGTCAACCCACATGAGGTTGGTAGTTTGACATCAGAATTCAACTACTAGTAACTTTAGATTGAGCATAGAATAAATATCTGTGATAAGTAAATGCATATTCTTATCCAGGATATCAGTGCCTATGCTTTCCATTTACTATGTCTTGTGCAAGAAAATATGTGCACGCATCAATATTAATTTCACTCGCTGCATTTTTTTATCTTAATTCAGCACTAGCCAGTAAGAGCTTGACAGCTGACTTTGAAACATGGTCATCATTAAGGTAGTCTGACCTCTAGTTGTTTCTCTTTTTTTCATATTTTTTTGAGTGACTGTCCTCTCATAAACTTTGAAATTTCGAAATACTAAGGATTTTCTACCCCAGGAATAGATTACCTTAGCTGTATTCGGCCTTTTGGAATTTTGGGTCCTCAACTTCATACTTTATTTGTTCTTTTTAACTTTTTTGATTTTAGCGTCACTGATGAGTCTTTTGTAGACGAAACGTGCGTCTAGTGTTCATAATTTTAATTCTGGTATCTATGATCATTTGACTTTACCAAACATATATTTTTATACAAATTGGTTCTTTTGGGACCATGTTCAGGTATTCATAAAACTTCTAAGAACCATAACTCCACACAAAATCATCGGAGGGAAAAAAAATTCAAACTTGATCCATAACTAGTCATGATAAAACTATATACCAAAAATAAAATCAATATCTTCAAGCATGACACAAAAAAAGGGTTGAAAACTGATTTGCCGGACTGACGGATGGACAGACAGACAGAGTGCAAACCTATAGTACCCTTCGACTTTGTCAGTAGGAGACTAATAATTGAAGGCATCTAAGAAACAAAATATGAAGATATGAAAGATAAAATAAATGCATATTATAATGCAAACTGAGTGCTGAAGTTTATATTGCAATTTGCATTAGATATCCGGTTTGCCTAAACTGGGAATTGCAATACTAAGGATAAAATAGTCAATTCTTAAAAGGTAAATTCAAATGGTAGCTGTTTACACTTTCTTCTATTTACAACTAAAATCCAACAGTGCTTTTAATTGACTTGCGCAAGAACCTACACACAATTACATGTTTTCAATAAAGGTGTTTTAACATCATCATTACCTTATTCTACTCTGTCCATTATTTCAAATCAAAAGCAAGTAAACAGCTGCGCCATGATACGCCCGTCGCATTTTTTACAAATAAAGTTCAATAACTTCTCAATGTCACAGAAACTTGTGAAAAACTAAAGGGAGGTTATCTTAATTGATATAAACCAGTCACCAAAGTTTAATGAAAACTGCCCAAAGCACTTTAAAGGTATTGACCGAAAACTAGAAAATCACCCCTTTTTTATGAATAAAATCCCATAACTCAGAAGTGTAAAATCTAAAATTTATAAAAAATTGAAAGGGAGCTTACATCAATAGATATAAACAATTCTCCAAAGTTTCATGAGAACTGCTGAAAGCAATTTTGAGTTATTGTCTGAAAACTGGAAAATCCCCCCTTTTTTTAATGAATAAAACTCCATAACTCGGAAACATAAAATCTAAAATTTATAAAAATCAAAAGGGAGCTCATGTCAATAGATATAAACAATTGACCAAAGTTTCTCGCAAATTGGTGGAAGCATTTTTGAGTTATTGTCCGAAAACTGGAAAATCCCCCCCCCTTTTAATGAATAAAACCCCAAAACTCAGAAACGTAAAATCTAAATTTTATAAAAAACGAAAGGGAGTTCACATCAATAGATATGAACAATTCACCAAAGTTTTATGCAAATTGGTTGAAGCTTTTTTAAGTTAATGTCCGACATGTTGACGACAGATGGACGGACAGACGGACGGACAGAGGTATACCATAATACGTCCCGTAAACGGGCGTATAAAAAAGTCAACAATCTTTTGGTGACCATTCAGAGGTCTCAGTTTCACATATTGCTTTTCTTTTTTTAAAGAAAGTAACTTGTTTTTTATTGTCAAGAAATTGATTAAAGAATTTCAAAATTAGTTAATACCATCTGAGAAACAAACTAAATCACCAAAACTTAACGTTGACCAATGAACAATGAAAATGAGGTAAAGGTCAATTGAACCTTGCAAGACATACATGGACCCCTTACAATCATTCAAAACACCAAATATAGTCGACCTATTGCCTATAGTAAATGAGAAATTGACCTAACCACCAAAAACTTAGCATTCATCACTGATCTATGAGATGAGGGAAGCTGTTAATGATCTCGTCTTACCTTTACTAGTTTATATTCTCTAGAATCTGCAAACTGTGGAAACATTTCCACATATTTTTGTGCAGCCTGCTGACCATTCAATAGATCTACACACAAGTGACATAACAGAGCTTTAAAGAAATGATCCTTAGCACTGTATTTCAGTAACTGATTATCCATACAGGAAATGGCGATCTGCAAGTTTGAAAGTAAACAAGTTATAATACCACTAAAAAATTTACTTCAATAATATTACAATCATGACCTATATATGTCTTTTCTTAATTTTTTGTGTCATTGGATTGCTTTCTCATTGACATAACCCCATAAATCTGTGTTTATTCCCTAAAACAGGTGTTATTCCATGACATTTATATTCTAAATGTTTTACACTGATAGTGGATGAACAAGGATTGTACATAGTGAATCTTTTGAATTATTTCCTCTCAACCCCATGGTTGTCAAAGATTGTTATTTATTTCTTACGTACTCACATTGATTATTTCCACTTATTTTCATAAAAGCTTCCAAGAAACCCTGTGTCTCGCCTGCTATTGCTGCTGTCAGTGTTTAAGTGTTATGATAACTGCCAACAAGATTGTTACCCTGTAGCTAAATTTCCTCTGCACTGTATAAACGAGGAATTAAATTGTGTGTCACAATGTGTCATTGTGGAAGGATAGTCAAAATATAGTAAAATCCCATAACTATACATGATTGCAAACAATCCAACCTAGTATGAGACTTTCTGTCAAATGGTATAAGAGGAGTTGTGTTTTCAAGGTGACACTATTACAATAATAGTTCCATAACTCAGGTAATAAATTGCTTCGCTGAGCTCAGCTGGATACGACCACAGAGGTCCAACCCTGAACAGTTGGGGCAAAAATGGACGCAATATTCGCGCTTGATACAGGTCTGATTTGGATTGTAATGAAATATTTGACACATAAAAGGTTTCTGACACAGAATAACTGTAGTCAAAGAACTTAGAATTGGTTATATGATTTGAATTTATATTCAATTTTTTGCTTTTGTGCAATACACTTTGCTGTTGCGTATTACCACCCCCCCCCCCCCCCACACACTTTTTTTTTGCAAAAAAAATAATATTTGAAGAATTTTTCTTTTTAATTTCTGAAATCTGAAATGAGAAAAAATTGACCCCCACAATTTCTTTTTACACCCCCTCCCCTTTCCCCCCAAAAAATTCTTTCCCTCAAGATATGGTCATAATCTCAATTCAAATTTCCAATGGAGTTTGCAACCATAATTACCCATTTAAATTTACCATAGTGCTAACTTAATCTATTTTATAATAGAATTTAAAATATGGTGTCAAATCTTTCATATGGATTTTTTTGTAAAAAAAAAGATGCAACATTTGCAGATATTTTTACTGGTCTTCCTTTATAAATATGCATTTTTTTAAACATAATTTAAAAGCAGTGTAAGGGAGGTAATCAAAATGTTGTATTTGGATTACCTCCGTTACACTGCTTTTTAATTGTCTTAATTGTTCATTAACCATTACTTTATACATAATTTAAAAGCAGTGTAAGGGAGGTAATTCAAATGATGTATTTGAATTACCTCCCTTACACTGCTTTAAATTATGTTTTGTACTAAAGTATTTGTCCATTAACCAGGACACCCTTGTTTTTCCCCCTTTTTTGCCCCTAATTCCTAAACGGTTTGAGCCATAACCCCTCAAAGCAAATCCTAACCATCCCTTTGTGGTATGGAAACTTGTGGTATAATTTCATAGAGATCCATTCACTTAAACTAAAGTTATTGTGCGAAAACCAATGTGTCTTCGGACAACGATGACGACGACGCCAACGTCATACCAATATACGACCGCAAAATTTTTTTGCTGTCGTATAAAAATGGTCTGATCAAAATGACGGAATAATATGGTCAACTACACATAATGGCAACCAATCTTACCAAATACCAGAGGTGTAAAACATTATCAGAGGAGTTGTTTTCAGAAGTTGTAGTTGTTGGATTACTCCAGCAATAGTCAAAGTCTCAACCCTTATACAAATGGTCAAATCAAAATGATGTTACAAAACTGCACATGATGGCAAACAATAGAACCAAGTATGAGAGCTTTCTTTCAAATAGTCTGAGATCAGATCTGTTCACAAGGTATTAGTATCACAATACTCCAAATAAAATGCTCCCTGGGGCGCAGCTTGATACAACCTCAGAGGTGGAACCCTGAACAGTTTTAGGCAAGTTAGGACACTACATTCAAGCTTGATACAGCTCTGAAAAGTTAAATCACAAAAATACTGAACTCAGAGGAAAATTCAAAACGGAAAGTCCCTAATCAAATGGCAAAATCAAAAGCACAAACACATCAAACGAATTGACAACAACTGTCATATTCCTGACTTGGTACAGGCTTTTTCTTATGTAGAAAATGGTGGATTGAACCTGGTTTTATAGCGCTAAACCTCTCACTTGTATGACAGTCGCATCAAATTCCATCAAATGAATTTTGATTGTGATTAATTATTTGACAGAGCATAGGTTTCTGACACAGAATGAATGTGGTCAAAGAACTGAAATTTTTTAAATTGGACTTTTACCTATTATGTTTCAATATCCAAAATCTAAATACATGGTTCAGCATATCAAAGAACCCCAAGAATTCATTTTTTTATGAAATCAAACAAAGCTTTATTTTGGACACTAAGGACCTAAATATGAATCAATTTAATAAAGGGGCCAAAAATTCAAAATCTTACTACACGGTTATATTCAGCATATCAAAGAACCCCATATCTTCAATTTTTGGTGAAATAAACAAAGATTAATTTTGGACCCCGATTAGGAACAACTTGAAAACTGGGCCAGAAATCAAAAATCTAAATACACGTTTAGATTCAGCATATCAAAGAACACCAAGAATTCAATTTTTATTAAATTCAAAATAAGTTTAATTTTGAGGATCCTTAGGACCTCCATGTGGACTAATTTGAAAATCGGGCCAATTCTCAAAAATCTAAATACTCGGTAAGATTCAGCATATCAAAGAAAAGTTCAATTTTGGACCCTTTGGACCTCAAATTCAATGTGGATCAATTTAAAGCCACATCAAAAACCTAAATACACAGTTAAATTCAGCATATCAAAGAACCCTAAGAGTTCAATTTTTGTTGAAATCAAACACAAAGTTCAATTTTGGACCATTTTGACCTTAAGGTGAACCAATTTGAAAACAACGCCCAAAATTAATAATCTAAATAATAAGTGAGATTTGGCATATCAAAGAACCCCAACAATTATATTTTTGATGAAATCAAACAAAGTTTAATTCTGGACCCTTTGGTCCTCTATGTGGACCAATTTGTTATCAGGATTTTAAATAAAAAATCTTAATACACAGCTAGATACAGCATATCAAAGAAACCCATATATTCAATTTTTGTTGAAATCAAACAAAGTTTAATTTTGGACCAACTTGAAAACCGGGGACACAAAATCAAAAATCTACATACATGTTTAGATTCAGCATATCAAATAACCCTGAGAATTCAATTTGTTTAAATGAAACAAAGATTAATTTTGAACCCTTTGGACGTTAATGTGGATCAATTTGAAAAAGGGGCCCAAAATTAAAAATCTAAATACAAATCTAAATTAAAAATCAAAATTAAAAATCTAAATACATGGTTCATTCAGCATATCAAAGAACCCCAATAATTATATTTTTGTTGAAATCACACTTAGTTTAGTTTTGGACCATTTGGACCTTAATGTGGACCAATTTAAAAACGGGGCCCAAAATCCCAAATCTAAATACACTGTTAGATTCAGCATATTAAAGAACCCCAAGAATTCAAGACTTTGATTAGCCCCATTGACATTGGTCAAGAAATTAGCAATTTACACAAAGTATTTGAAAAGCAGTGTTTTGGCCCCTTTTTCTGACACCAAAATCAATCCCAACCTTCCTTTTTTTGGTATAGAAGCTTGTGGTACAATTTCATAGAGATCCATACACTAATACACAAGTTATTGTACAGAAACAAGAAAAATGCTTAATACACGGTCAGATTCAGCATATCAAAGAACACCTTGAATTCAATTTCTGTTAAAATCAAACCAAGTAAACTTTAGACCCTTTGGACTTTAATGTAGACCAATTTGAAAAACCATCCAAATTCAAAAAATATATACACAGTTGGATTCAGGAAATCAAAGAACCCCATGAATTCAATTTTTCTTTAAAAATCAAACAAAGTTTAATTTTGGACCATTTGGACCTTAATGTGGACCAATTTGAAAATGGGCTCCAAAATTTAAATCTAAATACATAGTTAGATTCGGCATATCAAAGAACACCAATAATCATATTTTTGATGAAATCAAACAAAGTTTAATTGGACCCTTTGGTCCTCAATGTGGACCAATTTGTTAACAGGGTCTCAAATCAAAAATGTTAACACACAGTTAGATTCAGTATATCAAAGAATCCCATATGTTCAATTTTTGTTGAAATCAAAAAAAGTTTAATTTTGGACCAACTTGAAAACTGGGCACAAAATCAAAAATCCAAATACACTGTTAGATTCAGCATATCAAAGAACCCCAAGTATTCAAGACTTTGATAAATCCCATTGACACTGGTCAAGAAATAAGCAATTTATACAAAGTATTAGAAAAGTCGTGTTTTTGGCCCCTCTTTTTTTTACCACCAAATCAATCCCAACCTTCCTTTTTTGATATGGAAACTTGTGGCACAATTTCATAGAGATCCATAGACTTATACTGTTATACTAAGTTTAATTTTTGACCTTTTGGACTTAAATGTAGACCAATTTGCAAACGGGTCCCAAATCAAAAAATCTAGATACACAGTTAGATTAAGCATATCAATGAACCCCATAAAATTCAATTTTTTTTAATATCAAACAAACTGAAAGTGGTCAAGAAACTGAAATAGAGGCTCTAAAGAGCCTGTGTCACTCACCTTGGTATATGTGCATATCAAACAAAGGACACTCTCCAACATTGTAGAGGAGAATAGACTTCATGACAAAAATCTCTATTTTGTTGATCTTGCATTACTGATCTTTAAGTCTGTTTAGTTTCTCTCTATCATCTTTAGTTTTTGCTCAAAACACAAAAGAGGGTAAAAAAAATCCTCATTTAAGGGCAATCACTCCTATGAAGAGTGA